TATTTTTTACATGTTTTAGCTTTTTCTTTTTCAGTTCTCTTAATTTTTTTTCTTTTTTGGTTATTTTAATTTATTTGTTTTATTTTTTAGCTCTTTTAATTTATTTATTTATTTAGTTCTTTTAATTTATTTTCCCTCTATAGTTCTTTTAATTTATTTTTTATTTTTTATTTCTTTTAATTTATTTTTATTTTTTAGTTCTCTTAATTATTATTTTTTCTTTTTTTAGTTCTTTTGATTATTTTTTATTTTTTTTAGTTCTTTTATTACTTTTTTCTTTTTTAGTTCTTTTGATTTTTTTTCCTTGTTTGAGTTCTTTTTAGTTTTTTTTCTTTGTTTTAGTTCTTTTGATTTTTTTTAGTTCGTTTGATTTTTTTTTCTTATTTTTATTTCACTTTATTTTTTTCCTTATTTTTAGCTTTTTTATTTTTTCTCATTTTTATTTCTTTCGATTTTTTTCTTATTTTTAACTCTTTTAATTTTTTTTTCCTTTTTTGAGTTCTTTTGATTTTTTCTTTTCTTATTTTTAGTTCTTTTGATTTTTTTTTCTTATTTTTAGTTCTTTTGATTATTTTTCTTAATTTTTTTTCTTTTGATTTTTTTTCTTTTTTTTTTTTTTTGAAGCATCAAATGGCCTATTAGCTCAGTTGGTTGTTTAGTTTTTTTTATTTTTTTTATTTTTTTTGTTCTTTTGATTTTTTTCCTTTTTTTTTAGTTCTTTTGATTTTTTTTATTTTCTTATTTTTATTTCTTTTGATTTTTTTTTTTAGTTTTAGTTCTTTTTATTTTTCTTATTTTTGGTTCTTTTTTTTTTCTTATATTTAGTTCTTTTGATTTTTTTTCCTTGTTTTTATTTTTTTAGTTCTTTTGATTCTCTTTTTTTATTTGTTTTTTTTTTTAATTCTTTTGTATTTTTTTTTTTTTTATTCTTTTGTAGTTTTTTTTTTTTTTGTTCTTTTGAAGCATCAAATGGCTTATTAGCTCAATTGGTTAAAGGTCGTTTAAGTTCGAAACATGCATAGGCTAGTAAAGTATTTCTTTTCTAATTCTTTTAATTTATATTTTTTTTTTTTCCGGTTTTATTTTTTTATTTTTTCTTGTAATTTATTTTTCTAGTTCTTCTTATTTTTTTTTTATTTCTTCTGAGTTTTTTTGTTCTTTTAAATTTTTCTTTCTTTTTTTTGGTTCTTTTGATTTTTTTGATTTCTTTAGTTCTTTTATTTTTTTTATTTTTCTTAGTTCTTCTGATTTTTTTTCTTGTTTTAGTTCTTTTGAGTTTTTTCCTGTTTTTAGTTCTTTTGATTTTTTTTGCTCTTTTGATTTTTTTTTCTTTTTTTAGTTATTTTTCTTTTTCTTTTCTTCTTTTAGTTCTTTTGATTATTTTTTTTCTTGTTTTTAGATTCTTTTTCTTCTTTTGAGTTTTCTTTGTTTAGTCTTTTTGATTTTTTTCTTATTTTTTTAAGTTCTTTTGATTTTTTTTTTTTTTATGTTCATTTTATTTTGTTTTCTTATTTTTATTTCTTTTGATTTTTTTCTTAGTTTTTAGTTCGTTTGATTTTTTTTTTTTCTTATTTTTAGTTCTTTTAATTGTTTTCTTATTTTTAATCTTTTGATTTTTTTTTCTTCTTTTTTAGTTCTTTTGATTTTTTTTCCTTTGATTTTTTTTCTTATTTTTAGTTCTTTTGATTTTTTTTCCTTATTTTTAGTTCTTTTGATTTTTTTCCTTATTTTTAGTTCTATTTATTTTTTTTCCCTATATTTAGTTCTTTTGATTTTTTTTCTTATTTTTAGTTCTTTTGATTCTTTTTCTTATTTTTAGTTTGTTTGATTTTTTTTCTTATTTTTAGTTCCTTTGATTTGTTTTTTTCTTGTTGAATGACCCTCTCAAGTGGTTTTTCATTCGAGGCCTGCATGGCCCTAATTTTAATTATTTTAAAACTTACAAAAAATTGCAGTTCAAATCCATCATCTCAATTTCAAATCCACTATGGTTGTGAAAAAAAATAGAATTTCAAATCCCGAAAACAATATTTATTATATAACACATTATCTAGATTTCTCATTTTCAATTGTTCATAGATCCACAAGATTTATGTCTTTTTTTTATCTATAAATTTTATAGTCGATGGTGGAAATTGATTTAAAGATTTTTCCTTTTTTGTTGGATGGCCCACTCTTAAGTGATGTTTCGTTCGGGGCCTGCATGGCCCTGATTTTAATTATTTTGATTTTTGTTGGACGAGGAGAGGCAACCTACAAAATTTAAGGGGGAAATTTTTTTTTTGTTTTGATAGGGTTGCAACTCTATTGAAATAAGTGATGCTTCATCACGAAACTTTTAGAAAATTGCACTTCTACTATCAAAAAAGTTTCAAACCGATCATCTCAACCACCTCTACAGTTGTGAAAAGAAAAATAGAATTTCAAATCCCAGAAACGGTATCTATTATAACACGTTATATAGATT